CGGTAGTAGGGATAACAGAAAAGTACCTATATATATATATAAATTATTATTAATTTTATGATTTCTAACTTTCTAAAAAAAATGAAATGAAATTTGTTTCCTTTTTTAGTATTTTGATAAATTTAATGTAGCCATCATACTTATCTAGAAATGTATCTATCGTTAACCTAAATTTTTTATTATTTTTTTAGATGGAATGCTGTTTCCTGATCGTGCAAATTTATTCATAACTGGTATTGAAGATAGACAATATAAAGATGACAAAATTAACTGGTGGGAAAATGTGTATGGATTTAACATGAGTGCCATACGTAATGTTGCTATAAGTGAACCATTAGTAGACTGTGTAGAACCTAAGCAGGTAAAATTAATTATTTTTTTCAATTTATGTAAGGTATTAATTAAATATTAAATCATTAGGTTGTAACAAATTCAAGTTTGTTGAAAGAAGTAGATTTGTATACAGTAAAAAAAGAAGATTTAACGTTTACTGCTCCATTTAATCTTCAAGTCCGTCGCCAAGATTATGTGCATGCATTAGTTACTTATTTTACTGTTGAGTTTACCAAATGTCATAAACGTATAGGCTTTTCAACAGCTCCAGAATCACCTTATACTCATTGGAAACAAACAGTGTTCTACCTGGATAACTATTTAACTGTGAAAAGAAATGATGASGTGTATGGCACTTTTTCAATGTGTCCTAATGAACGCAACACTCGAGATATGGACTTTGTTATTGACATCGAATTTAAAAATGATGTTAACGATGTGACCGAATCTAATAAATACCGTATGCGTTGATAGCATTAAGATATCTTATTTTTTATTACAATAATTTTTTTTTTATATATATTACTTTTAACTTTTAAGATTAAAATTCTTTAAAATGCCGAATATGGTTAATTGAAGAACAAAAATAGCATTCATTGAGAAGTAATTTTAATTATGATACTCTCTTTCTATTATATTTTTTTATTCATTCTTCATCCATATTCCAAAATTAATTATGTTTATAATTGATATTTTAATACTTAACATTGATATTAGATACTCACTTAATAATTAAGTGATATCTTTAGATTTGTATGTTATTAAAATATTTACTTTAAAAAARAATTTAATACTCAATGTATATAGGTAACTTACGAACTTAATAATAGTGATTATATTTGGATTCACCTATGTTTGTTGTTCCTAATTTAAATTTTTTAGTTTTGCTTTTATAAAAAAAACCTGGTAATAAATTTAATGTATTTTTTTTCTATGATTATTTATATTCTCTCTTTATAATTAACTAAAAAATATAAAATATAACTAAAGTTAGATAACTAAATTTTATTTTTGAATTAAAAAATAACTCCTAAAATTAAATTTGCCATTTTACCATACTTATTGATTTACTATAATTTACCTCATTAACTAGGGCAATACCAGAATTGGTACAACATATGCACAGACTTTATTGACAAGGTATACAATAAAAAAAATTAAGTCTACCCCTAAAAACAAATGTTATAAAACAACATTTTACAGGTCAAAGTATTAGAAAATTTGTTTGTAAGTTTTCCTAAAGTTTGAAAAAACAATCAAAAGTTTTCTAATCTATTGATATAAGTTTTATTCACCCTTTTAGCAATACATGGGGTCATAACATGGAATTGTCTTAACTAAATCATAGAGTTTTAATGGCGATTTAAAAAAAAAATTTATGTTTAGTTAAATGTACCTTGTCATTTAGTATGTTATCATGGGTGTTCCTAGACATTTTTTTTTGAAGGGGGGATTAATTTAAATAATTAAAGGTTTTTTTAAATACATTTAATACTTAAATTTTAAAAGTAACCTATGTTACTAAATTGGGATATTACAAATAATTATTTGGAAAACAAGTTTAACATTTTAGGAAGAGGCAAGTGTCTCCCTGGCAAAGCCTATGTATGTAATAAATATGATATATTATTGTATACTACCTATGAACCAAAATTCTGAGTAGAGGGGGGCAGTGTGTAGGACTATTTTATTATAAACATTTCATATTAAGCCGGGTCCTCACGATGATAGTTACTCTCGCGATAGTTGCTATTGTGATAGTACTATCGAATACTATCACCGTATGAACATGGCAATAGTAACTGTCGAACCATCGTGAGAGCAGCTCTCACACTATCATACATGCATGATAGTTGAGAGCTACTATCACGATAGCGACTCTTGCGAGAGTAACTATCATCGTGTGGACCCGGCTTTACTGTAAGTTAAAATGTGTTAGATTGAACTAACTTTTTTCAAAAACAATATTAGTATATTAATATATTACCTTG